TTTTCTCACATCCCAGATTTAATCCTTCAGGATTTACTAAGTGACTTTAGTTAATACTTGAAGGACATCCACTATCTGAACTCTTCTTATGACTTCCGTTGCTGCCACTACGATCTGAACCACCATTACAGCTTGTCCTAGACATTTTGCACTATCTCCTTTGCTGGTATCCCTACTCCCATCCAGGCTTATAACCTTTCCAGTCTACTTAAAGCAGCCAAAATTATCTCTTTAAATCAAAATCTAGTTATTTCACCCCTCGTCTAAAAATTCTCCCATGGCTTCTTACCCCTTACAGAGTGAAGCCTTGAGTTCTTATGAGCCATGCTGCGCAGATTTCAGACTTGTGCGTTACCTTGCTCCCTCCCTACCCGGCTACTTCTGTGGCCTCCCTGTAGTTACAGAAACACCCTGAGCACACGTTCACCTCAGGGCCTTTGTACATGCTGTTCCTTCGGTCCAAAAGGCTCTTCCCCCAGCCCAGATATCCTTTGACTAGCTCCCTCCTTCTGTGCTTACATGTCACACATCAGAGGGGGCTCTTTCTTGATCAGCTCAACTGTAGAAGTAACCTCTGTCACCTCTGTCCTTTACCCAGATTTAATTTTTCTTCTTCCTTTTTATCATCACCTGCCAATATTGTATGCCTTTTTTATTATTTGTTTGTGGTCCATGTGCCCCTACTAAACTGTTAGCTCTGTGAGATTAGGGACTCTGTTTTTATTTACAGCTGTATTCCCAGTGCCTAAAACATTCTAGCTGGTGCCTGGGAAATAATCTATTGTTGAATGAATGCTTTTCTAAGATTACACTGTTTTTCCTTTTGTTCCTTGAATGTTAATACAAATTTCACATATTTGGAGGTAGGTCATTTCCAGGATTATCAGTCAGCCCTCACTTTGGACTTAGGTCCTAAGATTTATGCCTATTGTTTTTATAGGGCCCTTTTTCACTGCTGTGTAACCAGGGATCTCTGCACCACCAGAACAATTGCTTTCTTTCTAACATTTTCTAGACAGTCTTCGGTGTCTACCAATTAGATAATTAAGGGTCTTTTTGTGGAAAAGCTCATTTCATGGTCTGCAAATAAAGTAATGCAAACTCCAAAACTAGAATATATGTGTATAATTATTCAGATTTGGGGGAGGATATTAAGTCCTGAAATGGTAAATGAATACTCAGATTTAAGAAAGTGAAATTTCTCTAATATACCTCATAGGAGCCCAACTTCTGCCTTAAGAATGTGTGCTGCCTACACTGGTGAATTTAACACTCAGATTAGGCACCATGTCTAGAATCCCATACTATACAAATAGAATGGAGTCTGGTGTCTTAGCGATCTACATTTTCCCAAATGATTGTTGTCAGCTGTTCTGCCCATATATAAATTGAGAATGCATGTTTAGAACACAGATCTCTACACATGAAGGAGGCTCTATTATGGGAAATTCTAAGGTTCATTGATTCTTAAAAATCCACCATACAGTTTGGGCACACTTCTTCCCATTACTCCATGGCATTCTTGTTCTGACTCAAGACCCCCTAAATATGTTTCATGAAGTCCAGATATCTAAGCAAGATGCTCCAATGGGTGTGAAAAAGATACAAAGTTGTTTCCAGTGATTTTTTTTTTTAAAAACAGGCTGAACAAGAACAAAGCACCAATAGTTTTGCTTTATTGCCTAATTAATAACACCTCTATAGTTGACCACCTCCCTACATTGACCACATCCTTACGTTGCCCTGATTTACATAGACGAGGCATGCGCCACATGTACATATCACTAGGCCTAGTTCCTTATGTTGACCACCTCCAAATGTTGGCCAGTTTGTCACAACCCCTTGGGTGGTCAACTTATAGAGGTTTTAGGACTAGGACACTGGCCCACATCGGCAGCTGTCAAGGTCAGGTTGTTTCTGATCTGGCAATATTTATGAAGGCAATTTGTTGAACATGAGCAAACTTTTAAAATTTCTTCTGCTCAAAATGGCTTCCTATAAAAGTATGACTGTCTTCTTTATCTGTTTCTCATAAAGCTTCCCTGAGTAAGAGAAATGGATTAATTATCACTGGTTGGGTTTTGTTTAACAGTTTAAGGATGTACCTAGATGACTAAAATATTTCTTTACATCTAGGATATACCTAAATGACTAAAACATCCCTTTCTAAATTCTTAGCAAGTAGCAAGATGTATACATTGGTAATTGTTTAAATAGGGTTAGGGTTAAGGTTCAGAGTATCTAAAATTTTGGCTTAAATTTTCGTATTATCAGCTTCCCGATGTAATTGATTTTCTGGGCCACAGTAGTGGAAAGGAACCCCAGTGCTAAGTTAGTGCTGTCTGTAAGGAAGTGTTCTTTTGCTGCCTCATTCAGTAGATGTTCCTTGTACCCCCACTGTGTGCCAGGTACTGTAGTAAGCACGGCTAGTACAGTGGTGAATAAGACCTGGTCTTCATTGTGGTGTGTTCTAGAAACTGAGACCATTCAGTGATTTGACTTAGTTTTCTGTATCATTTTGCCTCCATCCTTCCACCACCTCATGCATTTCTGACTTTTGAAGCAGACTGAACTACTCGGAGTTCCCTGAAAACATCACGTTCTTCTCTGTCTCCTTTTCTTGGCTCCTGCTGTTCCCTTATTTGTTTACCTGGCAAGCTCTTCCACTTCATTTAAGACTAAGCTGAAAAGCTGTTTCATCTCTGCATCCTTCCCATTCTCTGCTAGGCCTTGATTTTAAACCATTATGAAAATAAATACCCTTTCCAGAATAGGATTTACATTTATTAGCTGGGAAAACATAAGTGATTTGGAATTCTGAGAGTACGCCTCTCTTGTCCCCACCTCCAGAGCCAGGGGCTTCTCTAGACTGTCCATGGTTTAGCTCAACGATGACTTAACTTGTGGCACCATCAAGTGGTTCAGTCAGACAGTGCAACTTAATTCTCCTGGAAGAGCGAAGAGTCCATCTTATACCACATACAGATTCAGAGAGGAAGAAAGGATGGAAGAAAGAAACCAACAATTATAACACAATTGAAAAGTATAATGATCATGCCATCTCTAGCTCAACAAGTTCAAAACTTTATAATACTTAGCAGGCTTGTGATCTATGTAGGGAAATGGTTTTTTAATCTTTACTTTTTGGTGACTTTTAAGCCCGAGTCGTAGAGATGGCTTACTTGTGTTTCTTCATTATTTGAGGCACATGTGTGTACTGTTTTGCTTTCTTTGCTGTTCTGCTTTGCTTGGTGAACAAACTTCCCCTACCCGTTGTGAGAGCCTCACTGAACTCTGCATTTCACACTTACGCTGAGATCTCTCTTTGGTCTGTGCTTTCATTGCTATATCCTTCTAGCAAAATGGTTTTAAAATTAAAGATCTTTTTCGCAAAATAAACTTTGCTTCTAAAGCAAGGGATAAATGTTAAGTGGTCATTTCAATAAACAAATTTTCAGAAATCCAAGGTTTCCTAATTATAGTTGGACTCGGTCTTAGAGTACTTCAGTGAAGTTAGTTTGCTTAGTGTGGCTTTGAGGCTGTAAGGAAGGGAACCATGAAAGGTGGAGGATGACAGTAGCTTTAGGCTCTTGGGTTCTTAGTTCTAACTGGCAAGCTGAAGTTTCAACCCACCTGTCAAGAGGGTAGGTTGTATTCCTTGGCTCTTAGTTGGAGTGGAAAAAGTACAAAACAAAAAACCCACACATGCACAATAGTCCAAAGAGACTACTGCTCTTTCTACATCTCAGAAGAACAGAAATCCATCATGTAGAACAAATCTCAATTTCTTTTCTGCCTTTAGCAATGAAGTTTTTGATTTTGATGACCATGTGTTGGAACCAAACCTCTTCTCTGATAGAATTATCATTGCAATTTATGTACTTTCCTTTCACACATGTGAGATAAACAGAATATATTCATTCTTCAATGAACTACCATGCCTAAGCTATTTCAGACCACAGAAGAAGCCTCTCATATAATGACTCAGGACTTGTTGTAATAGTATTTCCTTATATAGCACACATCTGAAATATAGCAAGGCCTTAGAAACTCCTGGTCATCATCTCCAGCCTCCCAAAGTGCAGAGATGATAGGAGTGAGCCACCACACCCAACCTGTTTCCATATTGTTAGACTGTCTCCTACTCAAAAAGAAGAAAAAGAGGGAGGTGGTTCTACCTTCTCAATAGCAAGGTTTCTAAAACTAGGAAGCAGCAAGAATGGTAAGTAACTAGGGAAGAAAAGGAGTAGCCCAAGGCTGAGAAAATGTCTATTTTAGAAAGACCAAGATGGTAGAACAAGCTTTATTAAGTATAAACTGGGGAAAATAGTAGCATCTCCTCCTTGATGTTTCTATATCATTGTTCAGCTTAGTCAGGATAGAAAGGGTATCCTATCTTGAAATGTTCTCTAGATTTCTACTTCATGCATTTTTTAAAGGTTTAAAAGGTATATTTCTGCTGTGCGTGTGTGAGACAGTGTTCCCTCTGTCATCCTGGAAGGAGTCCAGTGGCGTCATCATAGCTCACTGTACCCTCAAGCTCCAGGGCTGAGGCAGTCCTCCTGCCTCAGCCTCTCAAGTAGCTGGGACTAAAGGGTTGGACCAACATGGCTGGGGAATCTTTTTCTATTTTTTATGGAGATGGGGTCTCATTCTTGCTCGGGCTGATCTCTTGTACTCCTGAGCTCCAGAAAACCCCCTGCCTCAGTGCTAGGATTCCAGGAATGAGTCACTACACCAAGCCTATTTCTACTTATTTTTAGTACTTTTCCCATTCTCAAACTCTGATTTATTGATTGATTGGTTACAATTTGTGTGATGCTGTCATGTGTTCTGTCAAGCCGGGTTTAGAGAGACGCTTCCCTTTCTCTAAAGATACAAATTTTAGATTTCATCTGAATGTTTATACCACTGAGAGCAGTCACACACCTGTGAATTCTGAGTTAGTGGCCTTCCTAATCCGTGGCATGTTTTCTTTGGGGGGGGTGTTGCCTTTCCAGAGTGTCCTGCCAGGCTATGTAGCCACAAAAATGGCTAACATCAGAAAGCCAACTTTGGATAAACCCCCTCCGGAGATATTTGTGAAGTCTGCGATTAAAACAGTAGGATTGCAATCCCGGACCAATGGATACCCCATCCATTCTCTTATGGTATGTAGATTTTTAAGTCCCAAATCAGTACTTTTGGTTTGGGGTTTTCTTTCCCACTGAATCACAACATAGTATGTGATATGTTAGCATGTATATACATTATCTAGACATACTAATAAGGCATCTATGTTTTATTTTAAACTATACACCCAAACTTTAAGATCTACCCATAAAAAAAACTATCCATAAATAAAGCAACAGTACCATTACATATTAAAACATTGAATCATCCTTTAATTCAGCCCAAATTATAAGCTCTAATTATATCTCTCCCTTTTTTCCCCTCTAGGGCTTGGCATTGACCAACCTGCCTCCTTGGATTTGTTATAAGGTGACCATGAGTCTCAACAAGTCCACACGGGCTCGCTATCTGAAGAAAACCAAGAAGAACTAAGCACTGACAACTACACTGAGTAACTTGGTCAGCTGCTCCGGCCTGTGCATGTTCACTGCAAGGCAGCCCAGTGGTCTTTAAGGTCTACGCTTGTTGTTTCGGTAGTTCTAAAACTAACATGCCTAAATATTGTCTGAATTGGGAGGAAAATGGAAATTGTTTTTAGGAGTTTCTGACATTTATTCTGGATACTACTAGGAGTAATTCTGATGCTTAACATAAATGCTTATATCAAATGAATATAGAACTGAGTGTCGCCTGTGGCTCAAAGGAGTAAGGTGCCGGCCCCCTGGCCAAAAAAACTGCCCAAAAAAAAAAAAAAAAAAAATATATATATATATATATAT